GGGACTGTCCTCTCCCCTCCCCTTCCCGCCCTCCCCTCCCCCCACCCCCACCCCCACCCCCCTGGACTGACACTGTCACTTACTTGTGCTGTTTCAGCACTTCCCAAGTTTCTGTCTGCTTCCGGGTGTGTTGGCTCCATCTTCCGATTACTCAGACTGCTTTGTGCAAAATACTTGTTTCTGAATGTCCCGTGGGGGTGCTTGGGTTGTCCCCGTGGAGGCTGGAATGGGAAGGCGGTGGGCACTCAGTCTAGCGCCCACGAGGTTCAGATAGAACACCGGCCCCCACTGGGCCCGGGACATTTGTGTTAGGGACTTTCAGGAACTGCCCTAGGGTTTAATTCATGAAGTGACTGTATTTCATGTGTGAGACGTACAACTTGGTGGTTGGAGGTAGAAAAGCTTCTCACCTGATTTTGGTGTTTTTTGTGATTTAGGTATTTCTTAATAAGTACACAGTCTGTAAATAAAAGGTAGGGAGAAAAGTTAGTTGTCAGGCTAATCCCTACCTCGTAAATTGGGTAAAAGACAGGAGTCGTGTCGGGTCCCAGCGGGGCGTAGGCGCCGGCATGCCAGCCCTGCCGCTGCAGCGGTGGGAGTGTCACAGTCACCAGCCTGCAAGCTTATCTTTTCTCTAACAGACAGGTCGAGAAACTGAAGCCTGTCTGCTCCATCATGCTGGGAGTGTCACTGCTTTCTTCCATTTGGGGTCCCTGGGGGTTGATGCTGTGCTCTGGGTGGTCCCCGCCCCCTCTCGTTGCAGTGCCTGCCCCTTCTGCTGCCACTAGCCTCCCCCACCCCGTCACTGCTGCTCCCCCCCAATCACAGATGCAACTAAACCTGCACCCCACACACTGCCCCCATGCCTTGATTTTCTGCTGCTGCTGTGACAGATTACCGCAGATCAGTGGTACACAAATTTACTATCTCAGTTGTGTAGGTCAGACTTCTGGGTGGGCTCGGCTGGCCTCTGCAGGGTCTCACGGGGCTGAAATCAAGGTGTGGGCTGGGTGCCTTCCTTTCTGGAGGTTCTGGGGCAGAAAGTCCTCCTGGGATCATTCAGGTCGTTGGCAGGACACAGTTCCTTGTGGTTACAGGACTGATGTCCCATTCCCTTGCTGGCTGTCAGCTGCGGCCACTCTCAGCCCCCAGATGCCTCTCTCTGGTCCCTGCACCTGGGCCCTCCCCTCAGAGCTCCCAAGGTTTTGAAATCCTTCTTACACTTGGAATCAGACATCTCTGACCTCCCCTTCTGCCACCTCTCCCTTCTGACTCCAGCCAGGGAAAGTTCTCTGCTCCCAGAGATTTATAGGATTAGACTGGACCCAGATCATCCAGGAAAGTCTCTTTATTTTAAGGTCATAACTTCTATTAAACCTGCAAAGTCCCTTTGCAGCCCGGAGCATGGATTTAGGATTTATCCGGACACCTCTGAGGCACCATTATTCTGTCTTCCACGCCCAACCAGCGAAAGGAGGGTAACTGCCATGAGATCTGCCTTTTCTCACCCACAACCCTGTAGTGTGCACTCCTCCCACAGCACCCACAGCACCCACGGCCCCTTTGTCACAGGCCACAGGTGTTCGTGTCTTATTTCCTGTTGGACTTTAAGATCCTGGTGGGGCATTTGCTTTTTTCCCTGAGAGAGAGAGCATAGTATGTTGTACAAAATAAAATTTCAAATTATTATTTAAAATTCTGAAAATGCTACTTCTTTTCCACACTTAAGAATTAAACGAAACAATTACTCTTGATCTTTTTTCGAAGATGCTAGTGTGCATACAACATAGTTCCTTCCCTTGAGGAAATTTAGGAGTGGTAGCCGGTGGTGGTGTCCCTGTGCATGCAGGGAACGGGACCAGTGTTGCCTGCAGGGTTCTGAAAGAGAGATTACAATCTTGAGAGGAGTTTTAAGGGTCCTCCAGGTGGTTAAGATGGGGGTCAAATAACCAGAGAGAGAGGGCCCCCATGGATGGAAAGATGCCCCACGTAGGTTCTGTTAGCAGTGGGTGGGGCACTTTCGAACACAGGGAGGAACAGGGTTGTCCGAAGCCTGGTCCCCGCCCGACTGGCCTGTTCCTCGAGGCCCTGGGGCTCTCCCTGGCCATGCCTGTGCCTCCCTCCCCCAGGGCAGTGAATCCAAGGACCGGGATCTGCCTGCTCTGTTCTCTGAATTCTTGCCACCAACATAGTCCAGGACACTAGCTGACTTCCGGGTGGAGGTGGGAAAGACATAGCACAGAAAACACAGGTGGTACAGGGTGTTCTGGAAAGAACCAACACATCTCTCTTGGATTCCAAGGTTCCCAGAGACCAGATGACACAGGGCAGTGGTTTCTAACAATTTTGGCCTTAAAGACCTGTTGTTTCTATCTTGGAAAAGATGAATTAGTAAAAAGCAAACATACAAACAAACAAAAAAATCCCAACAACAACAAAAAATACCCTCTGCTTAAAAATGTCAACTGCTGACAGCATTTGACATATTTATTAATACAAATCTAGTCCAAAAAACCTGTTATTGTGTCTTCCTTATCAGTATCAATTTAAAAAGTTGGTTTGGTTTTACTGAAAGCAAATTTATTCCCTGATCATTTTATAAAGAAACATATTTTCAATGAATTATTTCAACTTTTTCCCCCCTGCTGTCAGGTTGAGATGGCAGGATATGCAAATCATAGTGTTTACACTTAGAAAAGTAATTAAAATATTCATTGCTTTGATGGGATTTCTGGTACTTATCATAAAAACTTGGCAGAGAGAAACAGAATCTGGGTTCTTCAATACTAGTAAAGCAAGACTTCCTGCGACCTAAGGAAAATGAATTCTAAGTCAGAAAGTGATTGTGCTAATTAATTTGCTGGTGGCTCCAAATCCTTTACGAAAATAGAATAAATGTTGGATAATGTGACAGTTAAGTCACCTTTTCCTCCCATTTTCCAAAGAGAGTTGGTGTAATGCGTGTGTGTGTGACAGTGAATTTTATATGTTCACGGAGGTGGGCCAGGTATTTGGTCAAACACCATTCTCGATGTTTCTATGGAGGGCGAGATTTCAATGAGATTTAACATTTAAATGGGGAGCCTTTGAGTCTAGCAGATCCCCCTCCATTGTGTTGAGTGGGCCTCGTCTCTTCAGTTTAAGACCTTAACAGAACAAAGACTGACCTCCCCCAGGCAAGAGAGACTCCTCGTGCAGAGGGTTTGGACGTGAACCCTGTCCCCAGTCGGCTACCACCCTGTAGACTCCGGATTGGCCAGGCGACGTGATTAACTGAGTGAGCCAGCTCCTGACAGTAAACCTCTGTGTCTGTATACTCCTCCCACCGATTCTGTTTCTCGGGAGAAGCCTAACTCACGGGGTGGAGCTTTTCTTAAATTTCTTTTTTATTGAAGGGCAGTTGATTTACAATATTAGTTTCAGGTGCACAACAGAGCGAATCAGTTGTACATATACACACGTATGCATATTTTTTCAGATTCTTTTCCGGTAGGTCATTACAAGAAACTGAGTGTAGTTCCCTGTGCTCTACAGTAGGTCCTTGGGGTTTATCTGTTTTTATACAGCAATTGGTATGTGTTAATCCCAAACTCCTATTGTTTTTAGAGCTTTCTTTATGTGTCGGTGCCTTTGATGAGCAATGATGATCATCTGTCTTGAAAACTTGTTCTCTTAATGTTTTAACATTTCATAAGCAATTTCCTTGAAGTACTAAACTAGTCAATGGGGGAAATCCCCAAGAATCCCACTGCTGGGACCGTTTGCTCTGGGATCTGACCACATGGGAGGGAAAGGATGGTTTGTTTCCACATGGGGCAATGTCAGCGGAGACCGGGCTCTGGGCTTCGTGCTGGCCTGGGGTGGGCGGAACTCTGAGGTGGCCCAAGTTCCCCTGCCCCCTGCTGTATGTGCCCAGCGTAGCCTCCAGGACTGAACACGAGGAGAGAGCACTGCCGTGTTCAGTAGCACCAGTGACCCCACCTATGGGTGAGTGTTGGGTGGGCCTGACCTAATCACACGAGGGCAGTCCCAGAGTTGGGGTCAGAGGTCAAGGGCACAGGGAGTACGTGAAGTGCACTTGCTGGCTCAGGGATGGAGGCAGCTGTGTGGCCAGGAAGGTGGGTGGCCCCTCAGAGCCAAGAGTGACCCCTGCCAACAGCCAGGGAGGAAGTGGGGACCTCAGTCCTACAACTGCAAGGAACTGGGTTCTGTCACAACAGGCTGAGCCCAGGAACACACTCCCCCAAAGCCTCCAGGAGCCCAGCCAGCCCACACCCTGACCTCCGCATCGTGATAGCTGGAGCGGAGGTCCCAGCCCTGCGGGCAGAAGTGCCGGCCCCGGAGCAGTGAGCCCGCACGCGGGGCTGCAGCTGCTAGGTGCGGGTGGTTCCTCCCGCAGCAGGAGACGTGGTCCCTTCCCCATGTTCTCTGAGCCCTCACCTCTTCTCTCAGGTGAAAAGAGAGAAGATGCTGTGTCCCGACCTCCTGTCGCACAGATTGACCGAAGGGGTGGGTGTGGTGTGGGTCCCAGAAAGTCCTGCCCGGGTCCCCTTTGCTTAGGCTGTTGTGGAATGAGGGAAGAATCCAATATTTAGGGTAAAACTGCTGTATTCAGAAATCAACGCTGCCACTTGTCAGGTGTCAGGACCTGGGTTGGTCACACGACTGCCCTCAGCGTCCCTTGAACCAAGCGGGCCTGGTTATAGGCGGGTTGTCGTGAGGAATGAGGGGTGGGATGGGCTGTGGACGTGGGTAAACCGTCAGCCTGTGGGAACGCAGGACAGGCCCCCGAGGGCTCAGATGGGCCTGGTCTGCCACCCTGTTTCCAGTGCCCTTCCCAGCTTGGAGAGCAATCAGGTCTCCCACGAAGAGCCCCTGCCGTCTCACCCCCCCAGGGCTCCGTGGGGGGCTCCGTGCCTACCACCGCACACAGCCCAGGAAGGGGCCCCTCTCGTGTTGAAGACGGGCTTACCGGTGTTTTACCAGAAGCATTAGCAGGGTGTTCCCTGTCCTGTGGTCCTTCGATCGAAATTGGCAGCATCGATGGGGTGTCTATTCCACGCCACGTGCTTCTTTGCCGAAAGCTATTCTGTCTGGTTGTCAGTCAGCCTTTTTGCATAGGAGGCATGTCCCGATTGTGCAGAGAGGAAGCTGGCTCAGAGAGACTGTGTAAGGTCTTTGAGCTCACAGTTAGGACACTGATTCAGAAGGCCAGGTTTTCTCCCTCTCTTGTGTCTTGGCCCAAGTGCCCAAACGGACTCCTACTCTGAGACCCTCTGTGGAGGGAGTTGGGGTCCGCTGTCAACATACCCGCAGCTCTTGCTCTGTGGCGTATTATCTTCCTACGAGTGGGGGAGGCGGGGACCGGGTGAAGGACTCATGGGTCATTGAAGGGTCCGGTCACGGACTCTGGAGATGTTTGTTTTTAAGGGAGAAAGAAAAACAAGCTCCCTTCTTCTCTAGCAGAGGTGTCTTTAAGCAACTTCATTAAGAATTATGGTTACACTTTTAGACTTTTCTTCCAGAGCCTTTCTCTGTTGGGTCACAAATCCCTGTCTTGCTTCTTCCCGGCTCTGCAGGGTCCCGGGCCTTCTGATGGGATCGCACGTCACACGCCGTTGGTTCGCCCGGGCCCCCAGCCAGGCTGGCCGCGCGCTCGCCCTCCCTGTGCCTGTGGGCTCCTCCTCCGGGGGTGGGGTGCGCCAGCCCAGCCGGCGCACACAGCCCGCTCGTGGCCTAACTGTGGAACTGAGGGCGGTATTTAATAGTCTTGTTGTCTTTTCTGACCAGTTTACCTCCGGTGGAAACACTGTGAGACGACGGGCGTGAAGACCTTGTGCAATCTAACGAAACTTCTGAACAAACTCCAGAAAGAGCACAGAGATCATGTCTCTCTGTACACCTCCGGACACCTGAACCCCAGCAAGCTCTACAGGCCTCCTGAGACAATCTTGTGTCACTGGCCCAACGCCAACAGGCCAAGGGAGGGAAAAGTCTCGGGAGCGGGGAAGCCGTCTGACAGGAAGATTGAAAAGATGAAGGATGCTTTGGCTCGATTTACCCTCAACACAGCTCTGGGCCCAAACGATGCGGAGAACACGCCACTCTTCAAGTATCTGAACCCTCTGACACACGGTTCCCACGCTTCAGAGGAGGATTTGGTTCTAAAGAGGGCTTCGGGAAAGGAGGGCTCTCCCGAGCGGCCAAAGAGGGCAGAGCTGAGACTGCCCGAGACGGAGGTTCTGAAGCACGGAGTGGCGAAGTCCAGCCGTCAGTGCGTGCGCTCTCCCCCGGGCGAGGACCAGCACCAGTACGTCAGCGCGCACTTCGCGGGCGTCACGAAAGCAGACAAGTACAGGAAGTTCTTAAGTTTCCAAAAAGAAGTTCTTGCAAAGCAAGATCTCCTGAGGAATGACTTCACTGGGAGCAAGGCAGCCACGTGCCACGAAAGGAAGCTGGACCGGGTAAGGAGGGCAGAGTTGCAGCGCTGTCTGCGCACGCGCTCGTCGGGGGCGGGGGGGTGGGGGGTGGGTCTAGGTCTTGTGGGCGGAGACTCGCCCTCGGGCGCCGCGCGGACATTTCCAGGTGGACGAGGGAAGGGCTGCCGGTGGCCGAGGCCGGCCCACGTGATGTAGGTGACAACAGTCAGGGTGGAGTAAAAGAAGGTTAGGCTTGGAAACTGGGAAATCAGAGGTGATTTCGTAATCGAAGCCATTGGATAGTAACAGCGGGGACAGTGAACAGTGTTCCTGGGTCACAGAAGCGTCGAGAGAACGTGTGTCCGACTCACTGCGGAAGAACGTGGAGGGAGGGCGAGGAGGCCTGGAGGAGTTGCACGGCGCAGGAGGACGCGGCGCAGGAGCCACGCGGCCCGCACAAGGTGGCCCGGTGTCACGATTCCGTGGGTGCTGAGCTGAGAGTGGGGCTCAGTGCCTGGGGTCGTGGCGTTGGGAGGGTGAGGACACCGGAAAGAACACACGCGAAATAACCAGCCCTTGATGAGATTTTGGCCCAGAGGACTGATGGGAGGAGGAACTTAAGGACATTGTGGAGCCAGAGAGTGGATCCCTGAATACAGGGTGGAAGGGGATAAAGAAAGAAAACCCAGGTCGTCACTGGTTCTCGGCGCCGGGTGGCTTGCCGCCCAGCGCTGCTGAGTGCCTGGCGGGCGGGATATTCAGGAAGGGAAACTGAGACATCCTGACATGGGCTGGTTCTGTTTTTCCTCCAGAAACTCCAGAATATATGTGTCTGTGGCCCTCAAGAGTTCAACAGACTGCAGGTCTTTGGAGAAGTCTTTGAAGATATTTGCAATAGTTCTTTGATATTTGGTGATATCCTGAAAGAAATTAAGGTAATAGAAACATACTTTTCCCAGGTAACACCTGGGAGCCACGCACGACGTTCTGCACACTTGAGCTCAGGCCTCAGGGAAGTTCTGCCGTGTCCCGTGGTGTCCGTCCTACGCACCTGGGGAGACCCGGGGTAACGTGCCCGCAGCCACGCACCTCGTAACTGGCCGCGGGAAACAGCCCCTGGCCCGCGCACGCCTTAAGTCCGTGTCCTTCTGCTAAAGCTTCCTAACTACACATAAACTCTTAGAAACCGCACGTAGGTAACGCAGAAACTTCTAGGGTTATGCTATGTGCTTTTATATGAATCTTTATGGAGTAATAAGTGTGTTGTGATTTCATGGTGAAGTGACCTTCATGTGGAAGCAGACCCGGACTTAGGTTGCGCACAGAGTCTGTGCTGTCGAAGCCCCAGAGGCAGGCAGTGCTCACCAGCAGGCCCGGCGGCCTGTCCTCCATGGGTATCCCCGCCCCCGGAGAGCCCCCCACGCAGAGCAGGGGGTCAGGAGGGCCCAAAGCCACGGAGCTTCTGAACGTCAGGAGGCCACGTGTTGTATGCGGATCGGGTTTTCTGTGGTTCTGTCCTGAAGTCATCAATAGTTAATACTCAAACAGACTTTAAAGATGGCGAGATTTTGTACATTTTAGTGTATATATTATTTAATATATTGTAGGAACATTCGTATACTTTTTAAATGATCTGAACTGATATCTTTAACCTGCATTTTATTTACTTTGCAAAAAAACTTTTATATTGTGCTGTAATCTCATAACACATTTCCACTGGATTACTTTCTCCTCCTTCCTCCCTTCCTTCCTTCCTTTCCCTTCCTTCCTTCCCTCCTTCCTATAGGATAAATATGAATTCTACATGGTGTTACTTCTGAAGACCCAGCCCACAGAGCACTATAAGGTAACAACCATGCAAGTCCTAAATAAAGCCTATTTCTTCATTTCTTCACATTTTGTCCGAACCCAAGAACCCCATTTGTGTCTCCATAATTTAGAGCAGCTGATACTTTTATTAGAAAAAGGCTTTATGCTCGTGTAGGACCCTGCTCTTGGTGACAGTGAGGGGCAGGAGGGGGCACACACGTGCTGGTTCTGGGCCAGTGCCTCCGTGATCCCTGCAGCTGTGTCCTTCTGCAGCTGGGTTCTCGCATGTTTGTTGTAACCAGAATCAGCCCCTCTCTTCTCTCCATCTGCATGGTGACGACCCCTGCCTTGTGAGCATCACCCTGGTCTTTCTTGTGAGCTCCGGATTACACGGTGCCCAGCCGTCCACCAGGTGCGGACACTTTGATGCCTGACTAGGCAGGTTACCGACCTTAAAATAGCCAGATTATCCTGGATTGTCTGGGTGGCTCCAGGCCAGTCCCTAAGAGTAGAGAACTTTCCCTGACTGGAGTCAGAAAGGAGAGATGGCAGAAGGGGAGGTCAGAGATGTCTGGCTCCAAGTGTACGAAGGATTTCAAAACCTTGAGGGCTCTAAGTGGAGGGCCCAGGTGCAGGGAGCAGAGAGAGGTGTCTGGGTGCTGAGAGTGGCCCCAGCGGGCAGCCAGCAAGAGAATGGGACGTCAGTCCTGCAGCTGCGAGGAACTGTGCCCTGTTGATGACCTGAATGATGCTGAGAGGACCTTCTGCCCGGGGACTTCCGGAAAGGAAGGCACCCGCCCACAGCTTGGTTTCAGCCCCGTGAGACCCTGCAGAGGCCAGCCGAGCCCACTCAGATGACAGCAATTATAAAAGTGAGAAAATGTCCCACAAACATCTCCAAACAGCTTCCAACACTGTTTCCAAGCTGCTGTTTACTGAACATCCGCTTCCATAGTGTGTGTGTGGTCCTGGTCTCCTGCTGCCACCTCAGCGCCTTCCGGACGTGGTTTCCTGCATTTTCCTGATGAGGAGAAATAGTGTCCCCCGAAGCTTTGTGCCCACCTGGAAGCGGCGTGGCCTTGCAGGGAAACGGGGTCCGTGCAGACGTAATCACGCTCAGATGAGGTCCTTAGGGTGGGTCCTGGTTCAGTGGCTGGGTCTTGATGAGAAGGAAGACATTTGGATGCAGACACAGTGTGGAAGGTGGAGGCGGAGGTGGGACCATATTCCCGAACCACTGACACAGCTCTAGGAGGAACTGGTGTGGGGATACAGAGGGAGGTCCGAGTGAGCACCGGAGGGCAGGTCCAGCTGCCATCCTCAGGGTGCAGGGGATGCCCTGTGAGGGTGAGTGTTTAGGACGTGTAAACCGTGGTCACCTCATCTCATTGTGACAACTTCCCCGTGCTCCCTCCAGGGCACACCTGTGGTCCTTAGTAAGGGAAACAGACTGAAGGAATAACGTTACCACTTACAAACTAAGAGCATATGGCACTGTAGCTAGGACGACTTTGGACATTTTGAGTCAATGAAGTTTAAAGCCCCTGTCTTACACGTTGGGAAGTGTAGTGTCTCCCTTTGTCTCTGGACAAAATCACAGCAAAATCGCAGGGAGGTCGGTTCTCACTGACTTCTTCACTCGGAATCACACGTGGGCATTGTTTTCTTTGTTTCCAGCTTTTCCTGTTACAGAAAAGAGCTTTGTATGACAGGAATAAGCAAAGCCTCTGGCAGGGTCTGCCCTGTTCCTTACTTGGAGGCTGAATCACAAAGGGACGTGCACGCCCGTGTCTCAGATACCAGGGCTGAAACGCATGCCCAGGTCAACAGGGCACTGGATCCTTCTTCTGCTTCTGGAAACTTGGCAGCCCATCACCGAGTGAGGCAGAGGCCGCTGCTCCCTCACATCTGAGAAGCGTCGCTGTACATTCGTGTACAGCAGTTGACTTAGTATTGTTGCTTCCTGGTTTAGAGGAAGTCACGGCGGTGCTGATAACAGTGCCCCTGCAGCACTTTGTTCAGCATTTTCTCTCCCCGCACAAACCAACAGTGAACCCTCCTCTACTTTTTAAGTTTCTTAAGAAAATAAAAACTTAAAAAGATCTATTTTACCCAGATCATCACCTGACTAGTCACATTCTTCCCCCCACCCCCTTCCGTCCCACCTACCTGGTTACTTTAACTAGAATTTATAATGTGACTCAGCTGGAATACGCTGTAGTAACAAAGGGAGGGGATCCTCACCCTGGCTGTGTGTTTGTCTCACCCACTGGGGCCTCTCCCGCCCAGGCTTTGCTGACTCACCTCGAGGGGCTACAGAGGAGGACCGTGAAGACAGCAGATGTGAACCAGGCCCGGGAGGAGCTCAGAGCCCTTGTGACAGCCATCAGAGCGGCCCTGGACCACAATGACACGTGAGGGATAACGGTCTGGGCTGACCTTTGCTGGGGTTACACCTATTTTATCTTAAAACCACGTGCCAAGCATAGTGGACAGTTTTTCCTGCACGGCTGGGCCTGACATCCTGCCGTTGTCACCGTCCTGCAGGTCCCTGGGCCTCTTCCGCAGGCCATCGCCATCGCGTGTGTGACCAGGGTGTCCTGCTAGAGCCGGTGACTCTGTGGGGGGAGTCTGGGGAGGTTTCTGAGGTAGTCTCGGGTCATCTTCAGTTGTCCCCTGAGGGTTATTGCTGGCAAAGTGCTGAAAAGACACCTTTTATGAACGCCTTTGTTATTTTTTTAACTTAAAAACTCTTTAAACCTCTCTGATGAGTCTTTCAGGATGAAACCACAATTGGATAGGGTATGCTTCTTTTTAAAAAAGAATTTTAAAAAAGAGAGTAAAGCAACTCTGACACATTCAAAATATCCTCCAGAAAACAAAACCAAGAAATGAATACCGAAAGTCAAAACTCTGCCTTCAGCATAACTAAACAGAAAGTACCCAAACCCAAGACACTTGAAAACAGAAAACAAACACTGGGCCAGTGAGCCATTATCTGCTCTCCTTCCGCATGCCCGGGGCAGAGCAAGGTCATTTCAGGGCAGAGGGAAGGACGGAGTTAGCAGAAGTCCTAAAATTGTCCTAAAACCACCGTTGGAGAGAGAGAGAACCCACGCGCAGAGCGCATCCTGCGGACGTTACTGGTGGTCCCCCAACCAGACCAGGCTGGACAGTGAGTGTGAGAGCGAGGAAACGGCTCTGAAGTGATAATGCTGTGGGTGAGGGGGGGTTGTGGGGGGGTGATCCGCATCCTTTGAAGAGAAAAATAAGCAAAGGAGGGAAGTTTAGAATCCCTTTGGAGAAGAAAACCAAAGGCACACGGCCTCTCCCAGTGCTGTTCTTGCTTCCCTCCAAGAAAGAAATGGAAACAAAACAAACCCCCAACAAAAACAGCACAAGGATGACTCGCCGCTCCGACAAAAAAGTGTCTTCTCGAATTGGGACTCTCACACGCTGCCCCAGACCACGAACCTCACCCACAAACATGCAGGGATGGAAAAGATCTTTGTCCACACAGACGACAGAAAACAGGAAAACAGAGAATAAGAAACCAAACAATTTCACTGATGAAAACCCCTGACAGCCAATAACAACAACTAAGAGTCGGAGCAGAAACCCGCGCGGCCGCCCTGCAAGCTGAGCCAGACGCCCTCAGAAGGGCATCTCAGGGCACACCAACCCGGAGCCGTAAATTTAAGACCTAGGCACAGAAATCAGCAACAACAAAAAGAGGACATGAAACTAGATCTGACAACTGAGGAAAGAGAGTGAAAAAGTCAGAATCAGGTTATAGATCAAGACTAAATTAGCACATGCCCAGAGAGGGGGCGTTTTGAATGAAAAGGTGACAAGGGCATTAGAAAAAGGCAGGGAACAATCAAGGTAATTAAAATGAGATAAAGAAAGAAAAAAAAGTCTGAGAAAAAAGTCGTTGAAATAGAAGACAGGCAAAGAGGATCCAATTTTTATGTAATTGAAGTTCCCAAAAGACAAAGGAATGAGTAGAAATCTAAGTAACCTTTAAAACGCTAACACGTTAAACGTTTGTGGAAGCCAAGCCCTCTGAAATGCGCATTAAAAAGGCTTTTACCATTATTCTTAACCCACTTAAACTTAATTTCTTAAAATTGGAGCCATAATATATTCCTACTTGTTTTAATCTGACACAATGGGCTAATGTGCATGAAAATCTTAAAATACCCGGCCCCGTGCAGGCGGGCAGCGAGTGGCCCTCTGTGGTGGTGCTGTTCCTCACCAAATACAGGGTTTCTCTCAGTGTACGCAGCAGCTATCAGATTCCTTTTTTTCTCTCTAAATCTACTTGAAATAAGATAGTCGACGTAGTTTATTTGAACCAGGAAGAACAAAACAAAGTGATAACTCAGATTTATTTCCTTCTTTTAAAATTTCCTGTGGTTTATTTTTAGTTTAAATATAATGGAATCTGTACATCGTACCTACAGGATGTGACCGTGATCCACAGGGAAAACACAACACGTGTTCCAGCCTTGATCAGCGGGTCTGCCCACCGCCCTGGACCCCCTGTCAGCCTCAGAGAGTAGAATGCTAGTTTCTCTGCCCTCTTGCTTCTTAAATATTCAAGTCACAAAGTAGCATCAATGAGCTCTACGGGACATAATTCGTTTTACACTAACCAGCAGCCTTGCCAGTGGCTCAGGCCATCTTGGCAAGAATGTTCTGTTTGTTCACTGAATTTGAGGCTGTCATTTTATATACAGCTTCTAATCACCTTTGTCGTTAGAAACTAAGAAGATCGTTTTTTGTTTCTCAATTTTTAAGCAAGACTCTTGGTATGAAAGAGACAAAGGAAAAAGGTACAAACAGGGCTCTGATGTATCACTATGTTTTATCATCAAACCACAGACTCAGAAGCAAACTGGAGCAGGAACACAGGCTGCTGCAGTCCGATCAGAGCAGAGCAGGTGAGTTACCAGTGACGTCGGGCTTCTGACGTGTTTCGCTGTGTCCTTTGGGTGAAGAATCTTCAAACCATGGCCTCCCGCTGTTCATTATTTGAGAGGGTTTTTTTTTTTTTTTAAGAGAGGTTATTAGATTTTATTCATTCCCTCCCCATCAAGTTCTTTAGAAATACTGTAAGTTTTCATTTCACCTGAAGTGGCTTAAATGAAATACTTTAAAAGTACAAGGAAGCAGGTGAACTCTTTAAGAGGCTGGTCAGGGCGAAGGTGCTGAGCCCAGTTTCCGCGCTTTGGGCGCGTTTGGCCATTCCGTGTCTCTGTAACCAGGGGCAACTCGTGTGCCTTTCATCATCCTCCAAGATCTTTGTGGTTTTCAGGGGAACGCTGAATTAATTCAGTGCCTTATGTAGAGAGAATTAGGCCGAGCTTTGACCCAGACTCTTGGAACAGATTCTAAGAAAATTGGCCAAATGGTGTAAATACGGGCAGCAGCTCTGCTGAGGCCGCGCTGAAGGACCAAACGCTGTTGGTCCTAGAGACAGTCTCTTGGAGTAATGGGTTGTAGGGGGAACTGTGAGCGCTGCTCAGCGCATCCACGTGGGCCGGACGTAGAGGAAGTGGAGCTGGGCCCGTGGTTTCCAGGGTGACAGCCATGCGGACAGTCCAGCCTGGTTCTCAGGACCTTCATGTCTTCACTCCTGTGTCAGAGAGTCAGCTTCCAGGACAGCGAGGCCCCGAGGCTGGGGTGCCCTCTTGGCCAGACAGGTCCTCCATCTGCCTGATTCAGCATCCTCCTCACATGGCGGTTATTTCAGCGGCTTTCATCCCAGCTGCTTGCCTGGTAGGTGGGACCAGTGATAGCTCGTCCCTCTCCGGTCGTTAAGAGGGTTACACCTGAACCCCCGAGAGGCGGGAACGCAGGACCTGACACTGGGGGGGCCCTGCCGCTGGTTCCCCCTGGTGTCATTTTTACTTGTGAAGAGGAATACATGGTTCACGGGAAATAATTGCATTTTGTGAATATTTATGCACTAGAAGAATATTAAACATTGTCTTAAAGTGAGATACACAATTCAGAATCTGATTAAATAATCGAAGTAATTTTAATTAAATATCTTGCTCATTAATCTTTACACAACGATTCAGTCAAATGCCGCTTTCCCTCCAGGCGTGTTGCACACTCGCTCACACTGGGCCCACTGTTTCCCTCTCGGCATCTTTGTGGGTGTTCTCAGGCGTCTAACCTGTTTCAAGTTCTTAGGCAAACTTGGCTGCGAAGGCTCTTAGCAGAGCATCTGGTTTTCCTTCTGCTGCTGCTGCTTTCTCTCCACGAGTGACACCTGTGTGATTTACCTGCTGCGCATCTTTCAAGGGTTTCTTGTGGCCTGAGTCCCGGGCCGTGTCTCTGTCCGGGCTGCCTTGTCTTGTGACTCTTCCGGGGCTCGGAGGTTGGTGGGTCCCTCCTGGTCCTGTGGCCTCGCTCGCTCTGGTGGGTTCCTCCCTAGACAGGTCACGGGATGAAACTGCAGCTCCCTGCTCTTCTGTTTCCTGATGTCTTTCAAAACTGGCCACCTTTTTTTTTTCTTTTAAATTTAAGGCTTTATTGCTAAACACTAATAGAATACATTGGCAGAGACTAATAAAAATAGTAAACAAAAGGAAGTTACCAATTTTCTAGGAATCTAGTAAACATTTCTTAGTCTTTGACACTGGCTGTTTCTGACTTGCAGTAAATGGCCGAGTTGGGATTCAAACCTAGCTCTTTCTTCCCCGGCTGCCCTGAGCTCAGTGTCCCTTCCCACCAGGTCTGTCCCTGGCTCCAGCCAGGCTGTGAGGTCTGCGTCTCCTTTACATCCAGGCCACGCCAGACACCAGCCCTGCTCTTTCCTGTTTCCTGAGTTGCTGTGTGCGTCTCCATGGCCCTCTGTGCCTCAGGGGCCGTCGTGATCTGATTTGCTCGAATGATCGCAGTAGTTTCCTGAGCGGTCCTCCTGATGGGAGTCCTGCCTTTCTCACTTTTGATACTTAGACAGAGTGACCGTTGTCTGATTGTGTTTCTTCCCAGTGTAAAAGCCTTCAACAGCCTTGCCTGATTTCTTAATAGAGACTAGAAGACCTTTTCAGACCCGCCCCAGCTTCCTTTCTGGTGTTATTTCTTCATGCGTCTCGCTGGGCTCTCAGTGGCCCCCTCTACTGTATAACTTTCTTTTGTACTAAATGTGCCAGATTCTTCTCTCCTGCCCCCTTCCGCTTGTCTGACTCCTGTTCATTCTCTGGTCTCAACTTAGTCACACGTCTCCAGAAAATTCAGCCTTGCACCTTCCCTGTACTGTGTTAGGTGCTTGGGTAGGCGCTCAATAAATTCTTATCAGTTATACAAATGCATTAAGGGAGGAATGCCTTGACTCTTGGATCAGATTTTTTTTAATCTCTGTTGTTATCCTTGCCTTTACTGTTTATATTTTGAATAGGAGAAGACTCACAATGTAGGAAAACGTACAGTGACCAAGGCAATGAAATGCATATACTTAATTTGGTTTTTATAAGTACAGGCAATTTCATTCCATTTTTATTTGATATTCAAAATAATTCACTATTTCAGTAACAGCCACTATCCCTATTTCCTTTTTTTAAAAATATACATTTGTTGACGTGTAGTCAATTTACAGTGTGGTGTTCCTTTCTGGTGTGCAGCATAGTGATTCAGTTATACATATGTGTATATTCCTTTCCATATTCTTTTTCATTATAGGTTATTATAAGATATTGAATGTAGTCCCCTGTGCTGTACAGTGGGACTTCGTTGTTTATCTATTTTTCATCTAACAGTTAGCATCCACAAATGCAGATCTCCCAGTGTATCCCTCTCGCCACATAACTGTAAGTTTGGATCAGATAATTTTTATTGATGTGTTTGAAATCTGAGTTATATCATATTTTATAACTCTTTACAACATACATAATGTTGTTAATAATACATAATGTTATTAATAAAGGCTAAGATGTTAAACATAGTAATACTTGGCTTATAAAAATATTTCAGAATCATCTGAGAAAAACACACCAGGTGAGGAACACCATACTCTTATTGAGAAGGTTGAAAAAAGGAGATGTGAGATACTTAATAAATGGGATGAAATTCAAGCTCTTGAAAGAGAAATGAAAGCAACTTTGGTTCATACTGGAATTTCACATATCACTGAGAATAAGATTAAAAGCTTAGAGGTATGTAAATTGTTTATTTGAATGTTTGTTTACTTTGCTCTTTTGCTTAAAGACCTTGGCAAACACAAGTAGCGATTTGATTTTGCAATAGGGTAAAAAAATAACAAAATTTTGTACAAATATATTCATTTCAAAACATTTGTAGCAAATGATTAGAATAATTGATAGATCGAGCTAAAACAACAAAAATGTAGGTAATTAAAAATTCTGTAGAGCTCTGTTAAGGGTCAAATTGGATCTCTTTCAGGTCAAATGATGTCTCTTGAAATTTAACAATTTTGTATAGAAAATAATGACTACTATTACTAATTAGTGACTAATACGTCCTAAGCAGTCTGACCTGAAGCCCAGAGAGGCTGAGTAACCTGCTCAGTATGGCACAGTACAGAGATGGCGGGCAGAGCTGGGATTCAGGGTTAATTCTTCTGGGCTCCAAAGTCCGTATGATTTTGGAGCCACATTGACTCTGTAGTTAGATGTTCAATTCCTTGTACAATTAGGTCGGGAGTTAGGGTTAGTCACTGCCGTTGAAAGTCTGCTGTATTAGACTTTAGCAATTGTTGCTAACTGTTTTTGTGACAAACAAAATGTAAATTATAATCTGTGCTTTGAAACGCTATGATGCCCTACTTTTTATATTATAACCTAATTTTTATTTGCATAAAACCTGACTCAATGTAACTTTTACTTCAGAGAGTTTATAAGTGATGTGTGACCATTCTTTTTTTCTCGTGGTTAGAGAGTTACATATATTTCCCCAATATTATTTATTTTAAGCCACATTATAGTGTATAGAAAGGTGGTGGTGGTGGTGGTGGTGGTGCAAACTTGCTCTGATTTCTCTCTCCTTTAAAACAGTATGTTCAGATTTCTTTCTGTGTTTTTATTTAGAATCTGCCCCTCTTTTTTAAAACTAAATGATGTCCTGAGAAGAAACACTAATTTATAGTTGAATTTTTAAACCATGAAAACGAGTTACAGTTTTACGTATTGTGAACATGATCTAATGCAAAGTCATGTAGGCTTTTCCTTCATAATGAAAACCTCTGTAAGTGGATTGAATCTAGGAAACAGAATTCCCTGTAATGATTTCATGTCACCAAATTTATGTTGCTGTAACTATTTATTACTCAAATTTGGCTCCTTAATTCCAATACTGGAGAGTACCATAGAATTACCTATCCTATTAAGTAATTGATTTCTGGTTCTGGATTTGAAATGTTATGTCTAACCAGAAGGGGAAAATAACAAAATATTATACAGGCTTTGCAGTGCTCCAGGTTCTGCTATGAACAATACAAAAATATTCTGTCATTTAATTCCCAACACCCCTAGGAGGTAGATGCTAAAATGAACCTTCTATCTTAGGTGAGGAAATCAAGCCACAAATATGCTAAGTAACTTGATTGGGGTCACAGTGAGCAAGTGGTAAAATTAGGATTTAAAGTCAGCCCGAGTTCTTAATTGCACATTTTCCAGCCTAATGATAAAATCGCGAATCCCTTCCAGTATGCTGGGCACCTCGAAGCGCGGGTCTTTCAGTCCTCCTCCTCATTCTGTTTCTGCAGTTATCTCGGATATTCTCATCCATGGCATTAACTCAGTTTTCAGTTTCAGCAGTAATACTCTTGGTATTTCTATTGTGCTTACAATGAATTTTGCAGACTCATCTGGGAAGAAGTGACAGCTTTACAATGTTAACAGTCCATCTGAGATCACTTTATTTAATTTATTTTTATGCGCTGGTCTTAAATAATTTTTGTTACGTTTATTCTTGTAATTTTATGGCATCTGTTACTATTGTGAATGGGAACTCAAAATTTTTTAACATTACAGTTTATAATCACGGATGTATATGTGACATGTTGATATCTGTATTTTTATACTGTATTCAGGCATCTTAAAAAATTTAATGATTAGCTCTGAAAAATGAGGAATTCTTCTACTCTGGAATCTCCCTAAAATTCTCTAGTTTTTGCAACATCAACCCCCACCTCTTCTAGTTTTTCACTCAGAAGGCCAGGAATTTTCTATCTTACAACATGTCCTTCAAGTCAAGCTTTGTGTATCTGTTGTTTTTAAATGGTGTGCTATTGAATACTATTGAAATTAAAATAACAGCATTCATATCATACATTTCGTTCCATAAATGGGGGAACATATTTAACAAACATTCTTAACCAAGTATCTTTCTTTTAAAACCATTTTTTTCTTCAGGCTGAAACTATAAAATTGGAAACAAAAAATAAAGTTTTAAAGAAGAAAATACAGGTAAGTCTTTGTGAAGCAATGTTTTTTAGTAGAAATATTTCCTCTAGCGCCTTCTTGTACTATGTCATAAACCAAATATGAACATGCAGCATCTTTCTAAAAGGTGATGTTCAGTAATGCCAAGAATACCTTGCTATGCAGACATTGGCTTAAAACTGGGTGGGTGTAAGCTAATGTGTTAATGAACAGAAAACACATTCTTTTTAAATAGTTGAGTGTGTCAGTGAGAACTGACCATTTCTGTAGCCCTCCCACACGTAACAGTTAGTTGTCATGAATTTATTTGGTGACAAGGAGTTTGATGAGCTAGCTCCTTTAACGACTCTCAGGATAAACCCTGAAGTACCTGCTAACAGCTTGCTGCTGAATAAATTCTGTTTCAATTTCGTATGTAATCTCTCTGTATGATACATAGAATGAGTCAGTTTGCTGTGCCTGACTCTGGAAGTGGTCACGTATTTGGGTGTAGTTGGCAATATTATTGGCTTTGTACATGACTAAGTGATCTTTAATTCTTGGCAGATCATTGAAAACCACGTGCGGCAGAGCATGGGGAAGAGCAGGCTGAGCGCAGGGGAGCAGCAGTGAGTACTGACCCGCGACCAAGGGCCGTCCCAGGGGGGGCCGCTCTCAACCCCGTCCACGTAGAGCTGGGCTGGGCCAGACGGTGCCTCGGAAGTGCTCACAGTCAGGAGTGTTAACTTTACATTTCCCTGCCACATCCTTTCCTGTGCTTGAGAATGCCTGGGCCAAGATTCCAGTCTCAATCTGTACATGTTATTTAGTAAAATAGAAATAAATTGTTTGGAAAAAGCTGAAGAGTTGAGGGTGATCCTCGTGGGCAGGGATCAGAAAGCTGTGAACGTGGCTTTCTTTTCTCAAGTTATATGGCTTTTAGTTATATTAGGTCTTTGAGAAAAACCCTACACGTGTATCAGTCTGAAAATTTTAATTCGAATATAAAATGGCTGATTTATATTATGTTACGTAAGTTTAGACTTTGAACAGAATTAACTTTGTAGTTTGTTTCTTTGAGTTGTACCACAGTTCAAATCTTAGGATTTGGAAAGGTTGAGAAAAAGCACTGATGGTTCAGATACGGTGGCGTAGGTTTACTGATAACACCAGGAGCCGGGGTTCCTCTGTCTTCCTTCCCTGCTTCCCTTGGGTCTGGGTGTCCTGCCCGGGGTCTCAGTGTGACCGTGTCCAGAAGAAGGAGATCCCAGGGGCTCCCTCCACATCCCAAGGCCACCTTTAGCTGCAAAGGAGTCCAGAAAATAGAACATTCCACGGTGCAGCATACATGGTAGAGAAAGGCATGGAGACAAGACGTTAGAACAGGGGCTGACTGGGCCCCACACGTAGATCCGGGTTCTGTGAGGCCTTGTGTCGTGCCGGGTGCCCTCAAAGGAAAGAACATAGAAATACAAACACAAGCGGGACGATTCCTGCACGGTCTTGGCAATGAGAGTGAACCGACCTGACGTTTAAACATCACTGTCCTCAGGGTCAGCCTCCCCCTGCCGCCACACTCCCCCGGAAGGCGCTGTGGGGACGTTCCCACACATACGGGGAGGGAATCTTCGCTACATTTGGGGCCAAGAGTCCAGTAAAAATATCCTTGAACATGAAAGTGGCGGGTTGCAAAGTCTTACTTTCAGTTTTTGAATAAATGAGCCCTAAAACCGATTTTTATTTTCAAATTTTCTTTTATGCTTAATGTAATTTTTTCTAACCTGTTTTATTCTTTGTTTGTTTTGTATTTTAAGGAACCTTTGGGAATTTATTAAAGAATTTGTTAAGTTAAAGGAAACAGATGGTACCTCTTATATGAAGGAAATGACCTATGAAAATTCACAACCGCCATGTACATAGTGTGGATGTTGCAGAGGGAAAAATGAACGAAGATACCTTTAATTTTGCCAGCTGTGATCTTCAGCACGATCCCTATGGTATATGTATCCTACTCAAGATAATGAAATAAATACATGGAGGTATGTGATTAATTTTACTATTGTACGCATGTTCATAGCAGTGGTGCCTTCGTATATTTTCTGCTTTCATTCAATAACTTCCTCCAGGGAAAAACACTCTCGATTATTTGGTAGGAATAAAACTCAGCACTGCTGCCATACGGATGAAACTTATTCCTTATTTGCCAATGCAAGTTTATATATGGGCGTTTAATCAGCTGTGGTAGTAAATATCCATTTAATTAAATCACCTTTGCCGGTTGTAAATGACACAGCGCTGGACCAGCGTGGCAGCACCAGCGTGGCAGCACCAGCGTGACAGCACCAGCACAGTGCTGTGCCCTGCACGTGTCTCAGCCGGTGTGTGCTGCATGTGCTCACTCGCTCTCATCCCCCCCTCCCCCAAGGGAGACCCTGTGCTGAGACGACCCGTCTTGGCCCTAAGCTGTGCTGCCTGGGAGAGGGGTGCTGTGGGCACAGTAACACTGCTCCTCTTCCCCACTCCAGTGCATCCAAACTTGTATTTTTTGCTTCAGAGTTTGTGCTAGAACCTCCCCTCTGGGAACCTGGACTTCACAAAGGCCCCCTTACCTGTGGGTGATTGTCTAAGACGGTGCTTTTCGAGGGCGCCCAGACCATGGCTGGGAGGGGCTCGTGCTGGTTCACGGGCCACCGCGGGGCACCCAGTTGGGACCAAAGTCTGTCAGCCAACCACCAGATGCGTGGGTGGGCGAGACTCCTCCCGGGTCCCTGGACGTCTGGTGCCAGACCCCACAGTTCCCACGGAGGCACGTGTGTCCGTGGATGGCTGATGCGTTGTTTCTGCTGAGAGGGCGGGGGACAAGGAAGCCTTCTTATTCAGCCGTGATGCCGACATCCCTCCCTGAAGACTGGGTTCTACCACAAATCTCAGCATTTTGGAGACAGTCTGTTGGGTGACATAGATTTACTAGGTCCCATCTGTTACGTCACAGGAGGCGCAGGGGTCGCCCCAAGTGCCAGGTCTCGTTCAGGAGGTCTGCCCGTGATGTTGCAGGAATGCTTGGCTTTGAAAGGGAGGGAGCATCACGGCACAGAGGAGCCGGGGTCAGAGCACAGGAAGCGCGTTAGGTCTGAGATGAACCAGGAACAGACAAACCAGCTGCCTTATGTGCCGCACGTGCCCACCAGCATCCTGGGAGTGGCTGGAGGTGTCCCACACAGGAGCCAGGTGCCCCGGAGTGCGTGAACACAGAGCAGGGGTTGCACTTTCCTTTCTGCACATGAAAACCACATCCCTTGTCGCCTACAGGTCACCTCACAGTCACCCTTCAAATTACTCTGTGCGGCTCCTGACGACAGAGCATCGCAGCCTGTCACACTCCCCACGTGTTTCTGGGCGCAGGAGAAGGCATCTCACGTGTGCTTCTGAGCGGGTTCCCTCCGGTCAGGCACCAGGTCTCCACTGGGTGCGCCCTCCCCTGCCGCCGACACCCCGCAGCGCTCAGGGAGCAGGAGTCTGCGTGCGTGGCCAAGGGGAGCCGGGGAGGGCGCCCCCAGTACGTTCCATGCTCTGTGTGAGAGAAGCACCCTCAGGGGGTCGCTCCTGTGCTTCTGCGTGAGATGGTAGAACCTTGCAGGCCAAACCCGGCCACTGTTCACATTTTCAGGAAAGGCAGAACCCTAGACCGCAGTCTGCTCACGGGGCTGACCTGCATGTTGGGACTGAGAGGAATCTTGGCTTTTCATCTGGCCCGGGGAGCTTTAAACCTTTATCTTGTTTATAGAAATAATCCTACACATGCTCTCACCCCACGCACACATCTGCCTGCGACAGTCATGACACCGGCTCACAGGCCGGCTTCCTGGGCGTCTTTCTGTGTGTGCTTGTGTTTGGTGCACAGCATGTCCACCTGCGCTTACGTTAATCATTCATGATGCATTAATTATAACTATAAATTAACAGTAACTAAGTAATAGGTGCATACACAGTAACAAAATTGGATCAGATTCTAATAGCTTTGAAACTTGTCTTTATTTGACTTTATCTTAGCATCTTCTTTTTAAGCGAGAACAGGAGAGCCTGCTTTATCTCTGAACGGCTGCCTTGGGTTCTGCGGTGGGGATCTATCTTGATTTATTTAACTACCCTCTTGTGGATGGTTGACTTTTAGTTTGTTCTCAAATCTTTTTTGCAATGCAATGAACATTTGCATCTGCAATGAACAAACTTTATCTGAGGCAACAGTTTCTTAAGACAAACTGTTCGATGAAGGATCTCTGTGTAAGATGATAAATGCCTTAAGCTTTTTCTAGATTTGTCAAAATGTCCAAATTTGGAAATTGTAATTCAGCTGGCCAAAATTAAACCCTCACCCACTGTAGATGAGAACACCTGTTTCACCGCTCTCTGACTAGCAGCTATTGGAGTTGTTATTTCTGATTCACTCACTCACTCATTCACAGATACTTGTTGAGGACCTACTGTGTGCTGGGCATTACTTTGGGCAATGGAGACAAAGCAGGAGACACCAAATAGGGGCCCCTGGAATCATGGAGCCTGCACTGTAGTTGGGGCAGACAAACCAACCAGTAAACCGAAGAGGGGGGAATCATACACGTGTCCCATGGAAGCATTCCAGGCAGAAGGAGAGCAGGTGCAAAGGCCCCGGGAGCAGATGGACATGGCACATGAAGGCGCAGCGGGGATGGCAGTGCAGTGGAAAGGAGGGGGCAAGGCGGAAGGAGCGGGGAAAGATGCCCAGAGTCGGGGCACAGCTTCTACTGTGAAGGCAACAGGCAGCCCCTGGGGGTTGGTTACAGTAGAGGAGAGAAGACCAGTCTGTCTTCTGTGTATGGGGCTTTGATGGTGAGTTTTATGGGTCAGTCTGGCTGGGCTACGGTGCCCAGGGATTTAATCAAATACTTACAAGGTGTTGGTGTAAAGTTATGTGGTAGATGTGGTCAACATCGACAATCAGTTGACTTTAAGTAAAGGAGAGCACCTTCCCGGAGGGGGGTGGGCCTCGTCCAATCAGTTGAAGGCCTTAAGAGCAAAAACTGAAGTTTCCCTGCAAACAAATTCTGCCTCAAGATGGCAGCATCTACTCCCACCAGAGTTTCTAGCCTGCTGGTTTGCTCTATAGATTTCAGACTTGCCAGCCCCCACATTGCATGAACCAATTCCTCTAAAGATTTATTTGGAAATACACATCCTATCGGTACTTTTTGCTGGACAACCTGGGCTGATACAGACCCGAGGGCAGAAACCTTTTATGCAGGGACCCCAGGAGGAGAGTTTTCCAGGAATACAAGCAAGAGGTGATATTGAACCAGCCAGAAACCTTGGGAGTGGCCGGAAGCAGTCAGATGCACTGGAGACAGTGGGTAGAGGGGATGGAGATGACGTGAAAATGGCAGGATTTACTGATGGTTTGGGGAAGGCTTGGGAGAGGGCAAGGAACCAAAGGGGACTTTAAGGCTTTTAGTCTGAGCAACAGACAGTGTGGACAGTGGGAGGCACTGGTTTCAGGGACAATGGAGAGAGTGGGAGGCTCTGGTTTTGGGGACAGAGGGGACAGTGGGGTGGGAGGGAATGATGAGTTTTAGTTTATTTACGATTCTTGCTTGAGCTTTTAAAAATAAATTTTATTTCACCATTTAAATGTCTTCTTATCAACAAGATTAAGCATCTTAAAACATGCGTGTCAGCTGTTTCCTTTCCCCCTTCTGTGTGTCGTCTGGCATTTAGTAGATGCTTGAGTACTATTTTAAGTCACTCATTGGCTGCCCACTCGTGTCACGCCTGTTTGTTTTCTGGGCTTTTTGTCTGAGGTCTGTGAGCTCGCATGGTACCTTGTGTAGTGCTCAGCAAGAACAAGACATTGATTTCTGTTTAGAGTAAGAGCAATTCAGACACCTGGATTCAAATTTCTTAAGTAATAATGAATCTATTCACCCGTCAACAGTGCACAAGCTGTAGACTGTTAGTGCTACTTTATTTCTTTAATTAAAACAGCAAGAAAGTTGCAATTTTTTTTAAGGCACATGCCTGGTTGAGTGGGGCTGTGAACTGTGTGTGTATGTGTGTGTTTTGACTATAGGGATCAGTCAGGTGTCCCACCTGTTTAGCTGGAGCACAACCAGTTCCACCTGAAATTTGGGCCAATCTACTCATAAGCAGGTGGCAGCGTTCTGAAGGAGGAGTGGGTGACATGTCAGAGCTGATTAGAACCTCTTGAAAGCATGTGGTAAGCCCTTCTCTCAGGTGAAAAAAAGAGTCACATTTTGTTCCCATTTTACAGATGAGAATACTGAGTCCCTGCTGTAGGTGGCATCGAAGGTGGTCCATTTAGGGGAATCCACGACCTTACCTGCTATGGGAATCAGGTCACACCTATCACAGTGGAGGTCTGCCCTGTGTCTCTCACAGACAGTGGACCTCAGCATGGGCCAGAGACCCATAAAGACCTTTCACTTGCCTTCAGCCATGGGACACCTCCACAGCCCCCACCCCACTGTGCGGCCTCACTATCTGCCCCTGACCTGCGTTCCCACTTTGCAGAGGGCCACCGAGACTAGAGGCCTTCCGGTCGGAGCCCTACATTTCCAGCTTGTCCGCCACGAAGTCACCCTTGTCTGTATCCGTCGTGGCATTTACCAAGTGTCAGGATTGCAAGAAGAGGCCAGTTCCGCGCTCGCCACGGGAGGGTTGTTGTGTCACCCCAGCTCCACAGACGAGGACACTGAGGCAGCGGAGGGGAAGCTCTTGCCAGGGCACGGAGTTTCAGAGGCCAGGCCTCATCCTGCCCTCCCCTCCCTGCAGCCCCCACTCAGCAGCGCCTCGTTCCCACATATCCTCAGTACGTACTGCGTCTCCATCGGCTCCTCCATCTCAGGGTAAAAGCATCTAAACCTCTCCTATTAAAAATAAAAAGTAACAGAACTTCTTTACCCAACACCCCCCTCCCCAAACAGGGGCAAATCTGCATTTCAGAGTTGAGCACCTTAAAGGACCGTCTGCTTTCCCTCGGCTGGTCTGTCCGCCTACTTCCCGCCCCGTGT